CAACTCTCTTGCCAGTCTACGGCATAATAATGGGAACACTGCTTTTATTTTATCAAATATCACAAAATGAATATAAAGATAGATATAAAATAATGTTTAATATAATAAAGTGTTTAAATTAATAGGCTGTTAGTCTAATTTGCTCATCACTCGACAAAAATGAGTACAAATAGAGAATTATAGTCAATAAAAATAAGGTTCATTCATTATTCCTATCGCAATATATTGAGTAAGATGATGATAACACAGAGTTTATTAAATTGTTTCTAAAATCGTTCGACCAAATTAAGTTAACCAGCGATAAATTAAAAGTATTGTAAAAACCCATTGTAGAAATTTCAAATATTTTAATTAAAAGTTTAAAATTATTGTATTCACTCTTTAAATTAAGTTGAAGGGCTTGAGAGTACTTTTCAATTTTGTATTCTTTAGATTGTTTTAAATTTGTTTCGTGGCATATCGTTAGTTCTAAAATATCGATCGTGTCGCAAAGATTAATATCAGGGCGCAGAGATTTAAACAGCGTTAATACTGGACGAAAATCTTCACACTCCAGATCGGCAAACAACGAGACTTCCAAACTTGCGCATTTTTTAATATTTTCTAAAACTATTGAGAGAACTTTGTTGTGACGATCTGAATATCTTTTTAAAGCTGCAACGGAGCTACAGTTGGACAAAACATGCTTGTTTGTTTGATAAGCGTCACATAGTGGACATTGTGGTTTAAACGTTTTTCCCCATCTTGCTAGGTTGGAGTTTGTTGGAAGTTGTTGAATGATACTTTTCCTAATAAACTTGTAAATAACCTCTGACTGTGTGGCCGTAGACCTTGACCAGCGAACTATTTGATCTGATTTGATGTTTTCCCTCACTGTCTTCAACACTATTCCTTGGGAGCTTAGTGATGATAAATGGTCGAACACCTTTTCTTGCTGTTTGAGCTTCAAATCATGGAGAGTGGGATTTATATCTTTGGTGACTGGGAGCAAGTTGTCTATTTTTGTGTAGTCATTAAATGACTCGCTCCACAGACTTTTCATTTCTTCGTTACCGTTAGATTTAAGGTAGTTGCGAAGCTTCACTCTCAATGATTCAGCATAATGTTTCAGGGATCTGATGTTCAGACCTCCCAATTTGTACGGCAGTGAAAGAATCTCAGATAGACAGCTGCTTATCGGTAAAGCCAGCCAAGTTCTAACGGCATCGTTAATCAATGGATCCAACTTGCTGGCAATCCATGACAGTGATATATCGTAAATACGCAGTTCGAAGCTGGGACAAAACGACGTAAAATTTGAAGTTTCCACTGGGCTGTGGTGTCCAGACTTGAAATCGTTGACAACATGCCTTGTAATTTGTTGAGCAGCAAATCTTTAGCTTTGGAATTGTTGCATTCGAAATCGTATATTTTACCTAGATATTCGAAATGGTCACCAATGCGAATCTGCGGTACAGGGGTGTCATTAATTGTCAACCTCGGCAGGAATTGTTCGTAGTTACCATTTTTCTTCCTCATCCCGAACGTGCAGCATTTATCTATCCTCATTTTCATCCCGGTAGCTTTGCACCAGGCTTTGTTTAAGTCAATTAATTTTTGGGCACCTTCTGTGCTGTTGGCGATGATTGCTGAGTCGTCAGCAAATTGGAACCATGCCCTTGATTTTAAATAAGCTGAAGGGCCCCAAATGTAACCACATTGCTGGA